CGTTTTTTTTCAATTATTTGTATCAAATTATTGGAGTGGTAGGCCGCTCAAATGCTTCATTTCAAATGCAATTGTTTCTAAATATGTTTAAAAGTATCCGCACGAATGTTTTTGTTTACCTGCATTGCATCTGCACTGTAATCAAATAGTACAATATTTTGTGAATGGAAAGAATTATAGTATATGATCACCCTACAATATCTTTTTGAAATCACTTAACGTTAATTAGTTGTGGATCAATTAGCAATATATAGGGATGATAGATAACCGAATATCGATTTAGATTTAGACATCCGAATCATACTTTGGCGAACGCATAATGAACATTTGTCTAGGTGTTACAATGTATGTAAATCACATTCGATTTGTTTGAATAGTCAATTTTCTTGCATAGAACATTAAACAAAGCTGATAGGTACAACTCGGTTACCCACTAACGTTTGCAGTAATGGGTCTGTGATAAAGCCCAAAGAAACCCAATCTTAATTATACAAATAGGCCCAATATTTTCGGAGGAACAAAAGAAACAAAATTCTACCATTTTAGTAAGTTCTAGTCTGAAAGCTACGAGGCACTGGAAATACAAAATCGCCGACGTTTCTTGTTTAGTTGCCGACTTTCCAATTTTTGATTGTTTATTTTTTATTTGTCTAAGTATGAATATACCCATAACAGAAACCTGATACTGATCGATGGTTATTCAAAGTTTTATCTCTTTTTTTTTTCATGTTGAAGAAATTCAAAAAAGGTTTTGAGAATTGAGAGTTGAAAAATTTGGATATTATGTTCCTTTGACTCTCTTCCTTTCTTTGAAAACCTTTATTTCTTTCTTTTTAAAATGTGTATGCTCCCGAGAAGATTGGATTCGTACTAATATTGTTGTAAGCAACTTTTATTATTTGTTTTAATAATAGATTTTATGATAATATTCAACAGTCAAAATCTGGACTTTGAATGTTTTGTATATCAAATGGGTCACACTTTTCCCATTTGGCTCAAAGCTAAGTTATCGTCCCTCGTTTTTGTTTGATAATTCATTTGCGGATTTCTAACCTATTATACTTGTAAGAGACACATCACCACAATACAAATCAATCCCTACTATTCGTAATTTTAACGTCCTTCTGACTTGTGGATCGAATCTTTGAAAACTATTAGTCATCCTTATAGATCGACATCTATATTTTATTGTTGGTTGTAATAAACCAATAGGCAAAAGGCTAGTATTCTGTAAAGACTAATTCAATAATCAAATCTTGAAGTTATAACATTCTTGTTTTTGCTAAGCAAACGTATATTACATTTGATATGAAATAATTTTGTCGAGTCGATTACATTTTCTTCATGGACTATTTTACTAATCATTCTAACTATTTTACTTTATCGTAAGACATTTGTTAAGTGAAGTGGCTAATGAGTCATGGTAGGCGTCATCTTTACCTCATGCATGCTTTAATACGTGTTACCAATTTCTGATCTACCAAAGGCTCCGGTCGGCAACTGTAATAGTTTTTTTAGTAACAAGTAAAAAATGGTGTCGTAAGAAAAATAAATGAAAAGTAATATAAGTATGAAATACATATATATATTTGCTAACAAATAATTATGCTATGGTGATAATACTAATAACTTACTTTAAAAAAGAAGAAGATAATACTAATAACTTAGACTTTAAATATTGAATTGGTTTTTTTTTTCTGTTTAACAACTTCACAAAAATTTGTTTTAACAAGTTCAGAAAAACTGTTCTGATTTTTAAAAATGATTTTTAATCATGTTAGTTCTATTCCATTATATTTGATCTGTAATATCACACTTCTTCTGTTCAATATGTCAAATATTCTATGTTTATCTTGCTTTCGTTTGAAAAATTTCTACAGAAAATTGTATATATCGGTCCACAAAATAGTTATTAAATACGTTGGATCATATCCATAAAGTAGTACCATATCAAATTTCCTCTAACTAAGTGTAACCAACACTTTGGAATACAGTTAAACTTGATGATAAAAGAATGGTTATTATTTTTTATAGATTTGGTCTACCATCGACGATTGTGTTTGGCTCTCCGGCTATATTAATATCTCAGTCTAAAAAGGAGGGCATATTTAAAAGTTATTTTTTGGTTTGTATGAGGATATTATTTTAACAAAAGCAAATATTTACATCTTTTTAATTTGAAAACTATAATATGGTCAAACCACGTGAATTCATCTATACGTATGTAATTGAACTTACGGTGTATCAATAATTTGATATAATTGTCCACGACATGATTGAGACGCCAACACATTCCAGGTTTGATCCATCTGCTACGCAAAATTAAATCTATTATTCTGAACACCCACATGAATATAGACCATTGCTTTCGCCTATTTGCATATCCTGAGAGAGGGTCTATCCATGGACTACAATTCTCCTAGGAATTAGTCTAAATCTTTTGATTTAAGATTTACTGAGTTATCAAAAAAATAATAAAAATAATTTGATATAATCACTGTATAAATACGTAACAACTACGGATAACGACATGCATGTTTGACTAATTTCGATAATATTGACATCATATATGAATTAGTTGCCATCAAAGATTTAGTTGTTTTCCATTTCCCTCAGACTTTTCTGCATTATTAAATAGGCCACCGATATCTAAATTTAATTATATATATATACCGCTAATGTTTTGTTTTGTTATTAAATTAAAATGTAAATTCTTCAAAATCTTGTATGTTTTTGAAAAATATCTTTAAAATATATACAAAAAGCAAAATTTCGTTCTTAAAAAACCATGTATGTTTTT